GTTGTTTTAATGTATTTTTGCTTAATTTAAGGATAACTTTACTGAGTTGAGGCATGATTGCAGTCATATGTAATGAAGAGAACAAGCTGAAGAGAGAAGTTGGACTTGGAAAAAGGGAAAATAACAATGAAGTCAGATGGTTTCTAGGGCAAACGTGGAAGGCTGAAAGCATTAGAGGGAATCTTTGTTGTGTTTTGAAGAAGTTTCATTTGAGTTCAAAGGATAAGGATTGGAGGCACTAGAAGACAAAATATAGTACTAAATTACTCTGCACAACCTGATGTGCCTGCTGAGGCCTGTTGTGGCAGTCTGCCCAGGATTCTTTGTCCCCCATAAATTGTTCCCTTCACTACTACAGAAAACCTAATTAACAATGATTGGGAAAGATATATAACAACGCGGGCTCAGACGTTGTTATGTAGAGTGTCATTGAATATGTGATACTTACAATCACGGCCCAGTAGCCATTGTAATAAACTAGAAATCGTGCTCCTTATCACAATCGTTTTCCAAACGACCATTGTGATAAATTTAATGGTCCTGAGTTCAATTCCAAGATGCGCCGTTTTGATATTTATTTTTTCTAGAAAGTGCGCGAGATATTATAACGACTATGACTATAACCTTTGTTAAATATTCTCCATAATTAACAGATATTATCATGCTTTTATAATTCATCCCATTTTTTAACCTGTATTATTGTTCACCATATCACAGCAGAAAATAAAACTCACATTTGTGATAAAGTTATCTGAAGACCTATAATTTCAAATAATTATACTTGTTAGTAAAAATACTTGGAAACTATAACATACATGAATATATTATGAATAAAGAATAAATTATGTACCTGTTAATTTTCCCAAATGCCTTCTTAATGATTGATTTGAATAGCATGGACAGCATCTCCATCAACTTCATCATACAATCTTTTTTCCAAAATCAAGTTGGTGATAACAAGTATTATATTCACAAATAGGACACACTTTATGTCCTTTGACACTATATCTAGCCAAGTTACTATAAGCAGGAAAGTCGTTGATTGTGAAAAATAACATTGCACGCATCTTAAACTTTTCCCCAGAATATGCATCATCAACCTCAATGCCTTCCTTCCACAAGATTCGTAAATCATCAATTAATGGATTTAGATAAACATCTATGTCGTTACCAAGTTGTTGTGGTCCAGAAATCATCATACTTAACAGCATATATTTGTGCTTCATGCACAACCAAGGAGATAGGTTATAAATAGTGAGAAGAACAGACCACAAAGAATGATTAGTGCTCAGATTACCAAAGGGGTTCATTCCATCGGTGGTAAGCCCAAACCTAAGTTTTCATGGCTCAACTCCAAAATCGAGAAACAATGAATCAATTTTCTTCCATTACAGTGAATCAGTTATATGGTGAATGTTTCTGTCACGAGTCCTTTCATCTGCATGCCATCTAAGATTCTTTGCATCATTCGAATTAGCAAAAAGTCTCTTAAATCGTGAAATTATTGGCAAGTACCATAACACTTTAGAAGGAGGATGCTTCCTACTAACATTGTCATAGTCATTATCATCAACATTGTTGCCCTTCAGCTTGTAATGTGACACACCATATTTCAGACGTTGATATAAGTCTTCATACTTTTTCCTGTATAATATGCAATCATTAAGGCAATCATGTATTTTGATATACTCTAGACCAATTGAACACAATATCTTCTTGGCCTCATAGCAACGATTTGTCAATTTGTTATCTTCTGGTAACATTTGCTTTAGCAATTCAAGTAATTCCATGAAACTTTTATCCCACCATCCATTTTCTGCCTTCAGATTAAACAACTTTAGTACTGCCGATAATCGTGTAAAATTTGTTCATCCCTTATATAAAGGGGTGTCTTTATCACTACATATAGTACCATAAATATGAGTCTTCTTAAAAGAAGATTCTCCAATATCACGAACATATCCTCTAGTTGATCTTCCATATATTCATCTTCATTCATCCTTTGACTTTGTGGCGCCCGAATTTTCTCTTTATCAACCTCACCATTCCATGTCCATATTATATAATTTTGACATATACCATCACAACAAAGGTGCTGGAATATTTTTTCCTTTGTACCCTTATCGATATTCGTGCAAACAACATAAGGACAATAAAAGATACCATCATTGTCGGGAAGATTTTTATCAGCGTATTCAAGGAATTCAAGAACTCCTTTCTCATAAATCGAACCTAATCTATTGGCTTTCATCCAACTATGATCCATAACAACTTCTGAAATTTTATACACGTATAATTATGTGAATTACACACGAAAATCTAATCCAAAAACTAACTTAAGCATATACATATTTAAACCTAAAGCATATGAAAAATGTACTCTCATACTGACTTGATCATATATATAACATAAACAAAGAAAAAAGGAATGAAGATATTGAAGAGTATCGTACTTCGAAGCTGAAGAATCAAATGAACAAAGAGGGTGAAGATTTGAACATATATAACATAAACCAAGAAAAAATGAATGAAGATGTTGAAGAGTACCATACTGCGAAGCTGAAGAATCAAATAAACGAAGAAGATGAAGATTTGAGCATATACAACATAAACAAAGAAAAAAGGAATGAAGATGTTGAAGAGTACCGTACTATGAAGCTGAAGAATCAAATGAGCGAAGATTTGTGCTCCAAATGAATGGATACGAATATTTGAGCCACTGCTATCGTCTCTGATTCACTTGTTCAATTAGGGCGTCTTATTAAAGAAATACGAAAAGAGTTTTGTTTTAATTTATCAGTAAACCCTTTAATCGTGGTTGAACAAAAAAATGGTAGTGGAAACTTAAGTCCTTTAACAACGGTTTATGTATTCATCGTTGTTAAATAATTTACAATTTATTTTTTAAATAATAGAGATAGGTGACACACGCTTAATGTACTCTAAAAAAATGAAAAAATGTGGTTGCTGGGAATCGAAGTGTGCCACACATCATTTTCTACTACAGTGTTTAAAATGAATCGTCATTAATAAATCCAGCAACTCACTCGGCGCGAAAATTTTAACCTATTACTACGGTGTATATGGATACGTTGTAAACATGGCGTTGTTGTTTACGTGTTTTATAGCAGTGTTTGTACCAGTTCCTTGTTGGCTAAGCATAAGAATTGAGGTGATGGTGCAGATTTCTATATTGGGCTTGATGTGATTTCCTTGCATTAGGCCAATGATCCAATGCATTGCCAAATCCTAGCTCAAGTCTATAAATAGGATTTTGAGGAAATTGAAAAGGGAGTTATGCTGTTGTAAGATAAAAACACCAAGAGTTTTAGTGTGTGGATGGTGGAGTGTGGAAGAGTTTCTCCCCTCACCCAATCTGATACCAGCTGAGGAGCAGTGGCGGGACTTAAGATGTCTATTGAAGACTATCTGTCTCCAGTCATTTCCCAAGTTTCTCTTAGGTTTATATCTTTTCTTCATTTATTGTTTAAGAGATGTTCCTATTGAGAACCATGTTTATAGCCTGTACTCAGCTCACTATGAGCTAAACCCTTTGTAGTTGAGCAATGTGAAGTTAATATTAAGTTGTTTTTATGGTATATGATGTGTGGTTTAGTGACTCGTTTTATTATATGTTAACCTGTTATAAGTCTATTTTTTTGCCTTACCAACTTAGGAGTAGATAAGAGCTTGTTGTTGTGAGAGATCCAACAAGTGGTTTTCTTAATAAAAATGGTTGAACGAGTAGGATAGAGATATTCACTCACCTAGCTTGCTTAGAGATAAGGAGCTGTAATTATTGAGGATTTCATATTATGCATGTTTTGATGTTGTAGAGATACACCATAAGATCACTGACATCACCAGTCATGACACCAAATGTCATGAACACATGATGACACTAATGATATTAATGGAACATAGCTAAACTCAATCACTCTTAATATAATTTCACTTCTTTTCACCTTACTTTTGACATCTGTTTTAAGTAAACTTGAACTCATAAACACCAATTATTATTTCTCTCGGCTCGTGCTTAAATCAAAATTATGGTTTCCATACAAAAACCAAATCTAAGTAACAAGACTTCATGTGGGTATGATACTCTTATTCTTATTACTTACTGCAATCACAATATATATACTTGCATGTGACACCTGATTTGTGAACAATAGCTCAACCAGAGCTCTTGATACCAAATGTTGAAATTCCACCAAAACCTGTGATGAATTTCTATCAATCTTGATGAACAAGATTGTTATCACCACACAATGACAATGAAAAGAACAGAAAATTAAAGAAAAGAGATTTAGGGTTTCTGCAGAGTTTCTCTCTGTCCACTAACCTTGGAAAACTTTCTTATTCACTTGCAACTGCAAATTATGTGAATATTCAATGTGTTACAAAATAGGGGTTACTCCCTCTATTTATAATGAGCTAGCTTGATCCCTAAGTTAAAAATTCCAAAACTATAAATGTCCAAAATACCTATTTTAGACCTAAATCTAAATTTGTGTGTAGCAACCTGTTTACAACAATTCGATAGCTAACAACTTGACACACCTTGTGTCGAGCAACAACCTGCTTCGACACAAGGAATTACACTTTCAACACTTACTTTTTGATCAACTCACTTTTACATAAATGTATCCAAACATAAATCAATTATGTTAAACTCAATTTTGTTAAAATTAATTCTACCAAACTCAATTGTGTCAAAATCATTTATATAAACCACCAATCCAAACACACATAGTAATATGTAGAATATCTTATAGAGCCACAACTGCTATAGAAAGAAAATGACAAGTAAATCAGAAGGGACTATTATGTCAATTTTGATCTAAGAGACAAATTTTCTGATAAAGGAGTTATATAAGAAATCAGTAGTAGTTACAGAACAAGAAAATAAACACATTAGATAAAATTTATATGTGAATTATCATGACATTCTATTTTAGTGTTACATACTGTGCATTGCATCTTAATATCCAAATAAATTATAATATTCCAGATGATAAATGGGTTGGAGATGTTGGAGGAGAAGATAAAAAGGGTTTTGGTGGCATTTCCAACTCTTTAAAGTTTGCTTCCAACATTTCTACCACTTTATGCATCGATGGTCGATTCAAAGGGTTGGTTTGTATGCACCATAAACTCACCATTGTCATTTTTCTTACCATTTCTTCATCAATCTCATTTTTAATACACTTTAATTCAAGATCCTGATTTAACTCAAGACGCTTGTAAATCCAGTGAGGAAAATATAATTTGCTAGAAAAGTCCACTTCAATCTTAATGTTCTTTCTTCGTCCAACCATCTCTAAAACCATCATTCCATAGCTGTAGACATCTGATTTATGTGACACCTCACCAAAATTTCTAGAAAACAACTCTGGAGCAATATATCCTGGTGTTCCTCTCGCACCAAATACAGATACAATGCTTTCTTTTCTTGGACATATTTTAGCAAGGCCAAAATCAGAAATTTTAGGACAAAAATCATCATCTAGTAATATATTATGAGGCTTTATGTCAAAATGTAAGATTCTGGTGTTGCACCCTCTATGCAAGTACTCTAATCCACGAGCAACGCCAACTGCAATATCATACAATGTTTTGCAATCCAATTGGAGATCACTCTGCGGTGGAATTTTGTCTTCATATATGAATTTCTCAAGAGATCCATTAGGCATGTATTCGTATATTAGTGCCTTTTTAGAACCATCCAAACAGAACCCCAAAAGTCTAACAACATTGACATGTGAAGTTCTACTAATACTAGCAACTTCATTAATGAAATCTTCACCATTACCTTTTGATTCACTCAAAATCTTCACTGCAACATTACGCTCATCTTGTAATTTTCCTCTGTATACACTTCCGTACCCTCCTTGGCCTAATTTATTTTTCAAAGAATTTGTTATCTTTTTTATATCAGAATAATTGTACCTAGCAGCAGAAAGAGGTCCATGTTCCTTCAAAAACTTTTCAATAATTTGATGGGTTGGATTCTTCTTGTTGGTCAAACGAAATGTGGGAGGGAAGATCTTTTTTCTAAACCAACAGACTAAAACAATCAGCAAGGCAAATGCAACTCCAGCCACAGAGCCCACTGGAGATTTTTGTTTCATAACATTGAGTTAGGAATTTCTTTCATTAATTACTCATTAAGACACACAAGCTCTTATGAAATCATAATGTAAAACTTCGTTAGAAACAATTTAGCATTATTATATTTTCACAAATCTAATACATTTACCTATTGTCACTATATGCACCACCTGAGACTTCTCTGCGACTGCGACTGCAACTGCAAGGGACAAAATGTAATATTATCAAAATATATCTAAAATATTTTAACAATGATTACCAAAATTTTAAAGTTTAAATCTATCTCTTTCTTTTATTATGAGAATCAACAATTAATATTCTTTATTCAAACTCAGTTTTCTCTTACAGTAAGAACTAAAAAGAGATAAACCTTTTGACAAAAGAAAAAGAGACAAACCTGTATCACATTTTGCAGCATGAACTCTATCAGTGCAGTAACATCTGAAATTGAATATATCTGCATCAAACCCGCATCTCCCTCCAGTGCTGTTACATTCCCTGCAATCACTAGCTATCCAATTCAACCTAAACCCTTTTCTCAGAGACTCTTGAATGCTTCCTTTCAACCCATTTTCCACCCTCGTGTAAACCACGTCATCTCTGCAAGACAAAAAGCTTGCATTTTTATCATCTCCATACAATGCCACAACCGAACTCGTTTCGTTTTCTGCAGAGCAACCGATTTTGTTCCTTTGCAGAGTTCTGGGTAGCTTCGATGAGTCGCATCCAAAGAACAATCTCACTTCAGTTTGGTTATGTGCAAGATAGAACGTGTTATTAGGAAAACTGGGGTTTTGGGTAGGTGAAAGTGAAAGACAACCTTTTTTTGTGTCTGTTCTTGAAAACATAGGATTCGACACTCTAAATGAATGATTTTGATACAAAATTTGGTTGATTGTGTAAAAGGTATTAGAAAGATTGAGGATTGGAAAACCAATAGTATTGTCACAAGTGATACCAAAACCAGGGTAACCACAAAAGGTTTCTTGTATTCCTTTGATGTAGAAAGGGTAGGTTATAGTTTGGTTGCCACATGTTTTGGGTTCACAAGCTTCAAAATATGGATCCACAGCATAGCTTAGAGTGATTGTTGTGAGGAAATAGAAGAGGGTGATGCAGTATGGATAAATCACAAGAGAAGAGATAAACAAAGACCTTTTTTTGTTCATTATGTAGATGGAAAAGTTATCCAAAAATTTACAAGTCGTCTGATACGTTTTGTTGAACGATGCATTTAGAATATCTTTGTCTAAATATTTCGAAAAGATAATTTCAATCTGTAGATGGTTGACTAATTGACTTGCTCTCAACCATCAAAGTCTAAGGAAAATGTATAGCCGTCAATTTTGATCACACTGAATACAATGTGGATGTTGATATGCTTCTCATCCCAAAAATAAATGATCAAATTGACTTATTCATAATTGACAAATCTGAATGCAAGACAAATTTTATCTGTCTACGGTAAACATAGAGACTTTGTGCCTATTGTGACACTTTAACTCCACTAGGACAATTCCTGCTATTTCATCTTTCTAATTGTGACAATCACAACTACAAAAATGTTGAAATTGTAATTCTTTGTGTCGAAGAAATATGGTTTCAGGGTTACCAGAAATCGACATTCCAAATGAGGTATGTAAGGAATGTGTATAGGCGAAGCAACACAAGAATAGCTTCAGCAAGGATACAGGAAGCAAGTCGAAGGCTATTCTTGAAATCATATACTCTAATGTATGTGGATCAACCTATGTGGATTCAAATAGAGGTAATAAATACATTGTCACATTCATAGATGATTTCAGTAAAAAATTATGGATTTACTTGATCAAGAAAAAAAGTGAAGTGATCGAGGTATTCATCATTAATGGTTACTTTGTGAATGAAAAATGTAGACATCATTGGCCTAAAGCTAACCATGCCTTTAGTTTTAATTTATCTTACTTGAGTGATGCGAAATTTGAAGTTGAACTTTCTGAAAAAATTAAGTTTTATTTGGTACCAAAAAAAATTCTCACTCATGTTTGGTTTATAGCTTATGAAATTTATATGATTGAATTCGTGTTGAAAATGGAACAACTTTCATTTTTACATTTTTAAAATTGGTTGAGAAATGAGCAAGATAAGAAATTAAAAAATGGTGTTGTTGTTGATTGGCGCGAGGTTAGGGATGAAGTTTCATTCAGAAACAAATTTATTTTGAGTTTATTGCAACATGTATTATGACCGAATGAAACAGCCACCCCAGTGGCAGAGGAAGCACGCGTAAGGAATTTGTGTATAGGGACCTGGGTTCAAGCCCCAGTGGTACCCTTTTATGTTTTTTTCATGTATTTCTTGCAGATCCAGCGGGCCTAGCTTCATTGAGTCCATCATGTGCCCTCTCCTCTACACCATCTGATCATTGGACAAACAGATCCAACGCATCACATGCATGCCTCATGATGCATCTCCAAAGAGTCAGCTACATGGAATCATAAATAGCGTTGGGCTTCCCAGAACTTGGACCTCTTTCCTTTTTGTTTTTGCTTTCATATACACCCATTTTACTAAGAAAACACCAAACTCATTTTCTTTTTTTATTTCATTTCTGACTTAAACCAAAAACTGTTTTGGACCCAACGCCTCATTTTCTTTCTAACCCCCATTTTTACTTTTACAACACCCTGACCCAATTATTTTTTATACTATTTATATTTTCTTTACTTACTTATTTTTATTTAACCAAAAATACAAAAATATGTATTTTTCATAAATAATTAAATTAGAAATATTTTAAATTTATTATTTCTTTTACATTGTAAAACATTTTTCTTTATTAAACATTGACATCTAAATCATTTTTTTAAACAAATAAATTAGACTTAGATTTTATTTTAATTAAGTTAGATTTTTTAGGTTTTTATTTAGAATATTACTTAACTTCTCTTGTAATTAAAATTAATTAGGTTAATTAGGTTAAACCTTTTTCTATCAAAAACCCTAAAAAACAATTTCCTTCTTCTTCTTTACATTTTGTACATTCTATTATTATTCATAGTCAATGGTTTGTAATAGATAATTATGCCTTATTGTTTTCTTCCCCCTATTCACAAACATGCACCCACATTGTAATAGCGTAGGACATTTAAATTCCGCAATTTATCGCTTTCCTTATTATTGTTAGTAATTAGGGTCTGTATGACAAGATTTAAAATCAAACATTACAAAACCCTAATCCAAGATAAAATACTTGAAATCAATACACTTTGCACACATGCACCTCTAGGGTAACCCACACTTGTTACCTCGGATAAAAAACAGTCATGTCCCTCGAACGTGAGATGTTTTAGCAAAGATCCTCGATTAAAAGATCGCAGTCCTTTGTGACCTTCAATGTTTTCTTCGGTAAACGATCTTAGTCCCTTAACACAAATTGCTAAAACATCTTACAAGTTGTCTTTTATGACTGTACGATGACCTACGCTTGTCCCTCACATCCAAAGATATGGCTCCTTACCAACTAATGGTAAAATAGCACTATCTAAAGGAGGAGGAAAAGAACAAAGACTTTTGAGTAGGTAGATTTGCTCGTAATTGCTTGCTCACAAACTAAAACCATTTTCACACCTCACACTTTCAAAAACAAACATCTTTCCAAACACTTTCTTTTGACAAATATTTTTAAAACAAAACATTTTGTATACATTCTAAACGATGCGAGAATCATTGCAAAATTTCCATACTAAGGCGTTTTCAAAATATTTCCAAAGTCAAACATTTTGTATACAACATTCTCAATGATATGAGAATCATTAAAAAATTACCATTTTCAAAACATCTTTAAAAAAAATTCCCAACATACACAAACACAAAGCATTTCAAAGAGAGCTAGCAATTAAGATCCTGTAGATAACTACGGATGAAAAGGGTGTTAACACCTTCCCTTTTCATAACCTACCCCCCGAACTCAAGAAAAATTCACAAAAGGTCTTTCATGTTCTTTTCACACTTTCCTTTATTGGATAAAAGAAAAGTCGGTGGCGACTCTTGCTATCCGCAACATTTTTGATCAAACGCAAAACACCCAAGTCAATTTTCCCACCATATTACAGAACTATCGACTCTGTTGGGGAGACAAATAAAAGTAGGGTTACCTTAAGAGCTAGATCATCTTTATTTGCTTTATTTGTTTGTCTTGTTTGCTTTACATTTGTGGGTTATGCTTGGGTTTATTACTTGTATAGATCCTATACCCGGATTTGGGGCATTTTAGGTAAGTAGCAATAGATCGTGGGGACTATGCAGCGTAATACCGACATAGTTGAAGCCATGGCTATGTTACTGTGACACATTTGTTGGTACCGGTGTCCCTTGAGTCTAGTCAAGGAGAATACGGGGCCGCTATGTGGTGTCATGAAGCACTAACTGACCGTAGAACCTTAATTGAACAAATTGGCCATTAGAAAGTAGTGAGATAGCTGGCTTTAGTGCAAGACTAAAGTTGGTTGATACTCAATACTATACTCATTAAGATCAGACTTTCGGGATATTTTGGCCGCAATTTCGATGCTTGAGCTAAAACAATGTCCGATGAAGAAAGATCAGTGATATTGAGGCTCCTAGAACCCGGTTACTTCTTTTAGGACTGGTTGAACCAACTAAAACTTCAAGAGGGTACTTACCTATAAACCCCATGCAAGCCTAAACCTAAGGCCTTGTGTATTTTTTTTGTGTATGATTAGTTGTTCATGACATCATAACATAATGCCATAGCATTTTCACTAACCATTTCAAGGACCTAGGGATTTATCTTTGTTCTGTTTTGTAGGATATGGCTTCCGCTCGCAGAAATACCATCTGAATTAACTTCACAAGGGTGCCTCCTCAACTCAAAGAGTTAGGATCAAGGGTTCTCGAAAATTCTCTGTTCACCAAATGATATGGTCGACTTCTCAATCTAGTTACCTCAAGCTTTGAAGAAGACGTGATGAGGGTACTCTTTCAGTTCTTTGACTTTGTACATCACTTTTTCACCTCTATCGATTATCAATTTGTGCCCACAATGGAATAATTCTCTCAAATATTGGGAGTACCCGTTCTTGATCAAATACACTTTATCGGTTTGGAGGAAGCTCCAAGATCTGAGTTTATTGCCACAACCTTACATTTGAAGAGTTATGACATTGTAGCTAATTGGGAGACAAGAAGTGGGGTCAAAGGCTTTTTGGCTAAATTCCTGATGGAGAAGGCTCGTTTGTTTTTGGATGCCATGAACTTTCAAGCTTTTGAGGAGATCTTTTCTCTTCTAATATATGAGTTGGTGCTTTTTCCTAACCCTGACCAACTCATAGATGTGAACATTGTCAAAATTTTCCTTACTCGTAACCTTGTGCCTACATTGCTTGGAGACGTTTTGCACTCTCTTCATGCTCGCACTATGAGGAAGCGGGGCACTCTTATGTGTTGCTTGCATTTGCTATCTAGGTGGTTTATTTTGAACCTTCCCCGATCGGTATTGAAGAATGAGCATGGTTTGAGATGGTCGCAAAGGATGATGTCGCTTTCTCATACAGATATCTATTGGGGCTCTCGATATCAAGATGACATTACTATCATTGACTGTTGTGGGGAGTTCCTTAATGTTCCACTCTTGGTAATTATGGGAGGTATTATGATCGGGACTTTATGAGTCTATTGGGATACTAACTGCAAGTATACAGTTTAGTCGTTCTAGTTTTAAATGATTATCAAACCCACAGAGACTGAGGATCAATCGCATACGATCTAGTGCTACAATTGTTTAACTAAGCCATGAATATTTGGTTTTAGGGGGGAAAATAGTTTAATTAAAAATAATAGTAGTAGCAATACCGGAATGTGATAGTCGGACTTCGGGAATTCGTGAATCGCTTGGCATATAAACTATTTCGGTAAAAAAAAATTGTTTAAAAACATGAGACATACACTCTCGTGTTCATGAAATAAGTCATGCTACTAAACCTAGTGGATGCACTTTAAATTTAATAACACTTTTTGAAAACAATTTGAGTTTAATTAATTTGTTAAAACACTCTCATGTATTTAAAAATTAATATTTCGTTACCACTATCTGGGTCGAACCCCAGCTCTTGCATGCAGGTTCTTGCCTTATTTAATTTCTCACTCTCGTGGAAAAATTGTGTTAATT